TGCCACCCACTTCTGAATAGCAAATAAAATATATTGTCTTTTGCTCCCACTGTTGAATGAAGTAACGGACATGACCAACTATGCTTCAATGTGTGGCTACAAGCATGCTGATATTTACTTGTCAAGCACATTCCAATTAAAGACATAATTCAGATTTAGTGAGGGAGAATGATTCTGGGATGGTGGTGGGAGAGGAAGCACCAGGAACTTGTCTCCCCCCCTGGACACTAACAGCAATGGCAGAGTCTGTCTGCTCTGCTTGGGAACTATGGTCTAACTATTTGGAAACTCTATGGAAGGCTGGCAAGTTGCATGGGGAACCTTGCACAATAAACTAAGGTCAATTTTGTATTTCAGCTCTGAGCACAACAAGAGTCACCCTTGGGCAGGCAACCATGCCCATGTCTCAGAACAATGGGCACACAGCATGAATCACGGCAAAGCCTGCGCTCGGCGCTGCTGACCTCACTGAGTGAGCAGAGGGAGGACGCGGGCCTCACAACCCAGTTGTTCCTCTGACCACAGGGGGCGCAGGCGCACAGCTCCTCCTGACCGCCTCGCCCACCCCGAGCAGCCCCTCCTTTGCCACTGCTGGCTCCCCAGGGACCTCAAGGGCCAGAGTCGGCTTCCTTCTCCTCATCTGTCTCTTCTTTCCTTTCAGGGAGTCACACATTAAAGACTAGAGCATTAAAAAACAAACAAACAAAAACCTGTGAATATAGGAAAAAACTAGAAAATGATGTCAAGGGGTTCAAGTAGACAAAAGAGCCAAGAAAACCTCAGGTCTACACCTCAGACTGCTCCTTGGCTACCTACCATGATAACAATGTATTTATACACATATAAATAGAAACACACACACACACATATATACTAATAAAAAAGCAAAGCCCAGGTAATGAGAGAATCTGATTCCCAGAGTAAACCAAATTATTAGATTCAGATGTTCAGTTTCAACAAAAAGTCACAAAGCAGGCAAAGCCTTGGAAAGTATGGCCCATTAAAAGAAAACAAGTTTTTAAAAAAAGGAGGGGGGCCTGACACAGTAGCCTAGAGGCTAAAGTTCTCATCTTGCACGCACCAGGATCCCACATAGGCACCAGTTCATGTCCCAGCTGCTCCACTGTCTTTCCAGCTCCCTGCTTGTGGCCTGGGAAAGCAATAAAGCATAGACCAATCGTGGGCCTCTGCACCCACAAGGGAGACCCAGAAGAGGCTCCTGGCTCCTGGTTTTGGATAGGATCAGCTCTGGCCATTATGGCCACTTGAGGGAGTAAACCAGTGGATGAAAGTTCTTTCTCTCTGCCTCTCCTTCTCTCTGTAAACCTGACTTTCCAAAAAACAAAATATTTTTTTTTACTGTTTTAATTAAAACAAAAGAAAAAAATTGAGGAATAGAAACTATGTTGGACAAAAAACCTGATGGTGATCTGCTAGTAAAAGAGATTACAATAGCTGTCTTAAGCTCCATGAACTAAAGGATCATGTGGATAAAATGAAGAAAATTATTGTGAACAAAATATGAAAAAGCAATAGAGACAGAAAAAACCTGAAAAGAAGCCCAAACATTATGGAGCTGAAAACCTCGCTAGTGAGATTCATGGCAGATTTAATACTCAACAAATACTCAATGAACTTGAAGACAGGATCATGGAAATGACCGAGTCTGAGGAAAGAAAAGTGAACAGAGCTGAAGGACCTGGGCATCACTGTGAAGCCGGACATGCACACCACACAGCAGCTCTGAGGAATGCCGCACCAAGTCCTCAACCCAAGCCTGGCCAGCAGGATCCAACAGCACATCAAATCGCTCACCCAGACCAGGTGGGATTCATCCCTGGCACGCAGGGAGGGCTTAACACTCACGACTCAATCAATGCGATTCGCCATGTCAAGAAATCGCAAAACAAAAAGCCTATGACCATCTCAACAGATGCTGAGAAGGCATTTGATAAAATCCAACACCACTTCATGCTAAAAACCTCAAACAAGATAGGCATCGAAGGAACGTTCTGCAACACAAAACAACATACAAAGAAACATCACTTACAAGGGCCCTCAATAAGACAGAAAAACAAAAGATTTCTCATCAGGGACTTCAGAGTCCAGAGGCAGTAGGACAATACATTCAAAGAGCTAGAAGAAAACAAAATGAAATGAAACAAACCATCCGCAAAGAATCTGACAGCTGGCAAAACAGACCCTCAAAAGTGAGAGAAGAGCACCCAGCTTTACAGCCTAGTGGCTAAACCCCTGACTTGCACGTGCCGGGATCCCATATGGGTGCCGGTTCAGATCCATGCTGCTCCACTTCCCATCCTGCTCCCTGCTTGTGGCCTGGGAAGGCAGGCGAGGACGGCCCAAAGTTTGGGACCCTACACGCACATACGAGACCCAGAAGAAGCTCCTAGCTTCTGGCTCCTGACTTTGAAAAGACAGCTCTGGCAGGTCTCTGGCTGTGGTGGCCACTTAAGAAGTGAATCAGTGGACAGAAGATGTCTTTACCTTCCCTCTGTAAATCTGATTTTCCATAAAAATAAATAAATCTTAAAAAAAAGGGGGGGGAGGGAGAGATGTTGTAACATGCCATCTATGATGCCAGTATTCCACATGGGTGCCAGTTTATGTCCCAGCTGCTTCACTTCTCATCCTGCTTCCTGAAAAGTGGCCTGGCACACGCAGCAAAAGATGGCTCAAGTGCCTGGGTCCCTGCCACCCACATGGCATATCCAGGAAAAGCTGCTGGCTCTAGGCTTCAGCCTAGCTCAGGTGCAGCTCTTGTGGCCAACTGGGGAGTGGACTAGACTCCCTCCTCTGTGCAATTCTAACTTTCATATAAATAAACAGATCTTTTTTTTTTTTTAAGATTTATTTTTATTATTTTTTTTATTGGAAAGGCGGATGTACAGAGAGGAGAGACAGAGAGGAAGATCTTCCGTCCGATGATTCACTCCCCAAGTGAGCGCAACGGGTCGATACTATGCCGATCCGAAGCCAGGAGCCTCTTCCGGGTCTCCCACGCGGGTGCAGGGTCCCAAAGCTGTGGGCCGTCCTCGACTGCTTTCCCAGGCCACAGGCAGGGAGCTGGAAGGGAAGTGGAGCTGCTGGGATAGAACCGGCGCCCATATGGGATCCCGGGCGTGCAAGGCGAGGACCTTTAACCACTTGCGCCACCGCGCCGGGCCCAACAGATCTTTTTAAAAAAAAAAAGTGAGGGAGAAATTAAGACCCACCTTCCAAGAAGCACTTAAGAGAATGAACAGACACTAGATGGCGCCACATTTAGACAAACAGAACTCCATAAAGATAAATAGATGGGCAACTATAAAAGCTAGAATTATTGGGCCCGGCGCGGTGGCACAGTGGTTAAGGTCCTCGCCTTGCACGCCCGGGATCCCATATGGGCGCCAGTTCTATCCCAGCAGCCCCGCTTCCCTTCCAGCTCCCTGCCTATGGCCCGGGAAAGCAGTCGAGGACGGCCCACAGCTTTGGGACCCTGCACCCGCGTGGGAGACCCGGAAGAGGCTCCTGGCTTCGGACTGGCATAGTATCGGCCATTGCGCTCACTTGGAGAGTGAATCATGGGACGGAAGATCTCCCTCTCTGTCTCTCCTCTCTGTATATCTGCCTTTCAATAAAAATAATAAAATCTTAAAAAAAAAAAAAAGCTAGAATTATTATAACAATGGTTTGCAACTCCACATTTCTTCTGTAAATTTCAGAGACAATTACATCTTTAAAAAATTATCAGCTAGGATTATTATTTAAAAAATCAATAAGACCAATTCAATAAAGAACATAGCCATATAGTGGAATAGTTTAGTCATTAAGAATAATGTCTATTATTAATAATCAATGTGGGAAAACGGCTTCAATCGCTAAGTAGAGAAAGCAAATTGTGTGATGCAATGAGCTAATATTTTCATGTCACATGCACGCACATACGTTTTTATACATACACACATTCATTCCATACTTTGCCGGAAGTTGAATACACAGAAAAAAAGTTCATGGAAGTTATTATATCACAGGTAACAGTGATGCATCTTAGGTTAGGTTTCCAAGTGGGGGGGCCTGTCACTGGAAACACTGATGGAAGAGAAATGAGACATGCAAGAGGAAAACAGGCTCATGCCAATCACCACGGCAGACAACTGAGGCTCAATCCCACATCTCAAGGGCTGAGGAGGCCTGCCTGGTCATCTCAGGCGTCACCGCAACCTGCTCCAGCTGCGCAAACCAGGGGAAGGCCCACGGGGGCAGGCACTTGATCTACAGTTAAGCTGCCACTTGGCAGCGTCCCACGCAAGCATGTCTGAGCTTGAGTCCTGACTCTGCTCCCAATTCCAGCTTCCTGCTAACGGTCACCCTGGGAGGAGGCGGCTGATAGCTTAAGCGGCCGGATGTCTCAAGCATGTGAGGACCTGGGATGAGTGGCCATTCCGCAGATGGGCGCTCACCGGTATTCCATCTTAACTAGACAACTTTGAAAAAAGAGAAGGTACACCCAACAGGAGTCACAAACCCTTGCTACAGAATGTCACCCACAAGTGCTGGGACGGTCAGACAACGGCAGCGCCCCCAACCGTGCCTACAGGAGACTATCATCGTGATAGAATTTATTATTTAATACGAGAGGCGGTGGAACGTTCTTGTTAAAGCGTGTGTTATTTAAAAGCTGCACATGGTTCTCAAAATATCTCCACACCAAAATACAAGTAAATTTGTCATTTCTTTTTTCTACACATTATTTTGGAAGTGCATTTATATGCTAGTGACTTTTTTTTTTCTAAACCAAGACACTTTAAAACCAAAATACTAAGTTTTCTAGATAAAGGAGAAAACTCTTACACTCGAGGTAGAAGATGTGCAGGGAGGCCAGAGACCTCTCCTCCAGCGACCCGCACCGGGAAGACAGCTGCCACACAGACGAGCTGCAGAGCAGGGAGCCGGCCATGCACGGGCCAGCGCCCTGGGGAGAGAGGCAGCTGGGACAAAGCGGTGTTTGGACACTTTTATTCACTGATCATAAATACAGTCTTGTGGACACGAGGGTGACCCTGAGGGGGGGACTAGCACCTGGGCCGTAACCGTGGCCGAGCACTCCCGGTTTCACCAGCACTGTCCGGGGAACAGGGCGGGGCGTCTCCCCCCTCGTCAAGTATTGAGCTTCCTGGGGACTCTCCTTCTGGTGCAGCAATTTTATTCTTGGCTCATTCTCAACAATTAAAAAAAAAAAATCATAAAAGACCGAGTGTGTGCGAGAAAATATCAAAGAAGATAAGAAGATTTGTTTTTTTCAGTTCTTCTTAGCATCTAAGAGTAAAAAGGGGAGCAGGGGGACAGGGAGGGCGTGGGAGGGGGGTCTGCCACGTGTCTTCCTCTCACCACAGCATTGCACACCACAGGCCCGGGGAGGGCTCAGTGCTGCCTGGACACGGGCTGCGTCTCCCGGATGAGCCACTCCAGGGCTTCCTGGCGGCCTTGTTTCTGCAGTTCCTTCCCGATCACGTCCCTGCAGGTCAGGTGGTAATTGTTGAGCCAGTCGCACTGTACAGGAAAGAAAGACGGGACACTGGCCTTAGCACTCTTTCCACAAAGGCTACACGGGCCAGCAGCAAGAGGCCCACATGCCGAAAGCACAACTTGAGAGGAGAGCTGCGCAAACTCCTCTCTCCCTGCTCAAGGACAAGTGACTTCCTCAGGTCTGTTGCCCTGGAAACAGATGGGCTGCATGGCTTACAGTGAGAACATTCCCAGAATAGTCCAGCCCACACAGACTGACAACGACCAGGAGGGAATTGCAAACACTTCTGGTGGTGAGCCCTGGCTGTGGCTTCCCTGAGTGCAGAGTCCCCATAATCCCAACCTTAACCTTGGAGAGAACTCTGGACAGCAATGCCCTGTGGCCTTGGCAAGAGAGCTGGGGCAAGGCCCCTGACCAGATCCCACCCATGTGGCTTCACTCCCTCATACCTGAGCCACCCTGGGGTGGAGGATGGAAGCGATAACTAATTTCAGATATTAGCATATGGATTGGTATTTCTCTAGACTCGGTAAGGACTACTGCTAAGGACGCATCTCCAGATGCTCTGCCTACACGCAGAGCTTCCCATCCCATATCCACTGAGGAAGCTTAATAAACTTGGGGCTGCCGAGTCCGTGTGGCTGTCTAGGTGAACCTAGAACCCCTAGTGGTCACGGACGATGTGTTGCAAAGCAGGGCTGACAGTGACCTTGACTTTCAGCTGCTCCCCAGAATATGCCATGCTGGATACAAAAAGGGACAGTCCAAAGCCAAGAAGTGCCAACAGTACCCTGCCAGGGGTGGGAGGAAGGTTGAGTGGGCTGACAGCAAAACCTCTGTGGCTGCAGGAAGGGTGAAATCAGCCTTGGGGGGATGCCAGCTCCACCAGGAGGACAAAAAGACATGGGGTGGACATGACCGGACAGCGAGCTGGCACAAGGCTAAGGTGACTGTTACTAAGGTGAATGCCACTGGCATGCTAATCCTGAATGAGCCTAGAGTCAAAGAGGGAGGCACTGGTGTCCCACAGCCTGCACCAAGGACCAAAGTCCAGTGAAGGGGTGAAGATGGGCACCCTTTCTTGGAGCAAAGAAGCTAGGGAAGATGTCTGGGGTGACATTGTCAAGAGGCTTCACTCTAGCCTCTTATTATTAACGTAATCCCTACTGATAACAGCCCTCTGGGAGCTGAAGAAATTAAAAGCAGGTCAATTGCTGTATCTAAATACCAATGCCGGGCAGGGCTCAGGAAGCCTGCGCAGCTAACAGTGGCAGCTTGGTGTAACCCTGGGATCAAGGAGATGCTCCCAAGGGCCTTTTGGCTTAGGGGAGAGGGGAGTAAAAGAGAACAGAAACAGCCTTAGCAGGCCCTGGGCTCAGTTTGCCCAACTGACCAAAGTCCTCTGCTGCCATCTGGTGACAGTGATGGGGGAGGCAGGCACTATGCAAAAGCTAAAAACTAACTTAAGGACACAGTAAGGAGCAGGAACCCAGCATTTTTAAAAGTTCGAGTATGGGCCCGGCAAGGCAGCCTAGTGGCTAAAGTCCTCACCTGGTGGGATGCACCAGGAACCCACATGGGTGCCAGTTCGTGTCCAACTGCTCTACTTCCTATCCAGCTCCCTGCTTGTTGTGGCCTGGGAAAGCAGTAGAGGATGGTCCAAAGCCTTGGGACCCTGGGTCCACCTGGGAGACCCAGAAGTAGCTCCTGTCTCTGGCTCAGCTCCAGCCCTGGCCGATGTGGCCACCTGAGGAGTGAACCAAGAGGTCTTTCTCTCCGTCTCTCCTCTCTGTAAAATCTGCCTTTCCAATAAAAATAAATAAATCTTATTATAAAGAAATAAAAGCTTAAGGGATAGAACCTCATTGTCGGTTATGACTTAGGCTGCAGACAAAAGGTAGCCCCAGGCTTAGGTGGCAGACAGGAAAGGGACCGTCCCTGCTCTCAGTATTAAACGCTGTCATCTGCTGTGATCTGTGGAGACGTGCTTGTAATCCCAGGGTAAGATGACATCATCCGCTCTAGGAAGGAGTTGGCCAAAAGAACGCGCCAGTGATCTGCGTATGCAAGGCCCAAGGAATGGATCACTGGGTCAGAAAGATGTGATGCATGTCACGGGGTACAATGTGTCACAGGATAGCAGGACTCTCCTTCAAGGAAAACTGTCTCATTCATCCTTTTTCACGCACTGCTTCTCTGGATAAAATGAAATGTCAAATGGAGAACTGTCTCTTAGTTTATGTGGGCAGAAAGAAATGCATGATCTACAACTACATGTGAAACTGATTTGTTCCGGGCCCAGCGTGGTAGCATAGCTGCTAAAGTCCTCCCCTTAAGCACACTGGGACCCCTTATGGGGGCTGATTCTAATCCCGGGAGCCCTGCTTCCCATCCAGCTCCCTGCTTGAGGCCTGGGAAAGCAGTGGAGGACAGCCCAGGGCTTTGGGACCCTGCACCCACATGGGAGACCTGGAGGAGGCTCTAGGCTCCTGGCCTCAGATTGGCTCAGCTCCTGCCATTGCAGCTGCTTGGGGAGTGAATCACTGGATGGAAGAACATCCTGTTTCTTCTCCTCTCTATGTGACTTTGCAATAAAAATAAATAAATCTTAAAAAAAAAAAAATGACTTGCTCCAGATCCATGCCCGCTTAGGTGTTCTTGCTCCGTCACATCTATGGCATCACTTAAGGGGACAGGACTCCTACCAGTGAGCTAATGTGCTGGGTGCCCTGATCCAAACCCGTCTGTAATCAACAAATAAGCCAGGATTGGCAACGAATGTCTGACTGAGCCAAGGGCACAATGGTCAACCAGAGATGCCCAGACAAGGAGAGCTAACCCATCTGCCACCCACCTGTGAGCTTGACACAGTGGAAGAGGCTTTCGGCTGCAAAGACCGCATTCCACAGATCAGGACCAGAGCTCCTTAACGCTCAGGGGTCCTTGCCCTTAATGCCAAGAAGGATGCCCAGGCAAGCCTCACTAAGGCAGCTCTGCTTCAAGAGCGCCTTGAAGCTCCTGGGAAGTGTCCAGCGGCTGCTTTGGGAGCACAGTCTCCTCCCAGAACCAATCAGGCGCGTTCGTCCCGCCCTCAGCTTCCGCCCATCATTCGCTTTGTGCTGGGACTTCTGACTCCTGCCTGGCTCTGGAATTTATAGCCTCTGCCTCCAAGTTTCCTCCTATGGGAACCACTTTGTCCAGTGCTCACTGCTTCCGCTCGTTTCTGGTCGTGTTCCTGCTCTGACCTTGGTCACTGCTTGATCCCTCAAACCATACCCCAGGTCCCTGTCCCCTACCCCAGCCTCACAGGCGGGGAACCTGCCCTAGGATTTGAAAGGCTTTCCAAACCTGTAATCCTGAACTTGCTGAATGAGCACGGTCGTGCCCTAGACCTTGTGGAGGATTTCATGCTACCCCACCCGGGACCAAAACACTCAACAGGGATGGGAGGGCCGGTACCCCCTCCTCTACTTGTCCAAGAAAATGACTCAGATGAGATTTTGACCTCACTTCGTTAATGTTTCATGCAACCTAAGACAACAACCTGGCAGGTATAATGGCCGGGGGCCTCACCGGCCGTCTGGTTTCCAGTAGGGAAGAGCCTGTTTGCTACTCGGTGCAGCTACGGAGGAACAGCATGGACATTGCCTCCTGACAAGCGATGGCAGGCTGTTCCACCCCACAGGAGCCAGGGGACGTGCAGAGCTTCTGCCCGCAGGCCCAGCACTGACAGGGAAAGCTAGAGGCCCCAGACGCCTAGGACGTTCAGATTCAGTCGCTAAGAACCCCGAATCAAAAAGCCCCTTCCCCGCCCTTTACCTCTTTGTCGGTAAGAGAATCCACATCTATCATTTTGGTCTGGATCGGAACCAGAGTTAGAGGTTCAAAGGTCAGGCTTCCCCGGTTATTGAAATTATACTGTGGGAAAAGGAAGCAGACAGACATTCTCACTCATCTTTACCACGATGAACCACATGCCGTGAGCTCATTCCACCAGACATGGCCACCTGTCACAGCCGAAAGCAACTGTGAGCCAAGAAGAGGTCCGCCGGGCACCATTTTTAAGGAACACACTTGGATAGGGTCATAGCTGATGCCATTCTCCAACAGCCGCCACGCTGGGCACACAGAAATGTGTGGCTCAGGCAGAGCCAAGCCAAGGGTGGTAAGGGACTCGCAGCAGCAGGCCCACAGCGGGGCAGGGCCCACGAGGGCCGGGCTCGGGGTAACCTGGTTTGGCTTCCTAACACTCTACCGGAGTGCGAGACCCCAGGATGATTTTGTTAACTGCCATGCAGCCGTCTTACCCAAGCAAGGCCCATGGCATGTGCACTTTGAGTCCCTGTTCACTACAAGGCCTCAGGTCTGAGGCAAGAAGCCATGTCCACGAACAGTGACTTCCACATGGAAACAGACAACAGATCCTTGAAGTCAACCTCCTAGAAAACTTAGCAAGCTGCTTCCCTCCAACGATTCATTTCCATAATCATCACTGAAGAAGGAATCAAGAGGTCTGTTAGACCAAGCCTGGCACCTTGCGGCTTCTTGGTAACCCTGACATAGGAGAGGCAGAACTCCCCCTGCTTCGTGATGTCTCTGAAGTCTGTTGCATGGACCATCTCAGGATTCCTCGACTTCACACGGCAAAAAATCAGCCAGCAGCCCCTTGTTCTGCGAGATCTGGGAGGGACCTGGAATGTGCCCTTTGAAAAAACACTCCCTGCAGCTGGGACTGCGTAACAACAGGTCCACTTGTGACAAACTCAGAGCCCCCGAGCACGCCCGCAGGCCCCAGCCTGGTGTCCCAGGAAATCCCGACAGATTTTCTTTGTGACTCTAGGGAGAGGTGAGTGATTTCCAGGGGCATCCTGGAGACCAGAGGAAGGAGGCTCCATTGTGGCCTGGAACTGCACTCTTAGCTCCATCAAGAACAAGTCTTCATCTTGCAGCAATAAGAAATAGGAAACTTCAAAAAAACAAACACATGATGACTTACCTTGGTCTTCACAGGAACCACCAAGACCACATTCTCAATGCGAATTCCAAAAGCTCCATCTTCGTAATACCCTGGCTCTGAAACAAAACAAACCTCACTGTGAAGCAGCGCAGGGGAGACAGACGCACGGGGGGGGGGGGGGGGGGGGGGGGGGGCGGGGAGAAGCCGTGGCTCCAGGATGACCACTGGGGCGCAAAGCAGAAGAAACAAGTCAAGGACCCCATCTATCGGGGGTGAGAACAAACAGGCTCTGCAGTCCCTGAACAGCGGCTGCATGGTGGGGAGCATAACAACAGAGCCCCATGAAATCAACGGTGGCGCATATCCATGAAGCAATGGTTCAGACACTTACAAAGGTTTCACAGTGACTTGGGTGAGGGCAACACGCTAAGAAAACAGAATGTGGTCAGTACAGTATATTCAGCATGACTTCACTGACATTAAAAAAAATCTTGGGCCCAGCGCAATAGCATAATGGTTAAGGCCAGGATCCCATATGGGCACTGGTTCTAATCCTGGCAGCTCCACTTCCCATCCAACTCACTGATTGTGGCCTGGGAAAGCAGTCGAGGATGACCCAAAGCCTTGGGACCCTGCACCTGCGTGGGAGACCCGGAAAGAGATTCCTGGCTCCTGGCTTCAAATCAGCGCAGCACCAGATGTTGCGCTCACTTGAGGAGTGAATCATTGGAAGGCAGATCTTCCTCTCTGTCTCTCCTCCTCTCTGTACATCTGCCTTTCCAATAAAATAAATAAATCTTTAAAAAAAAATTCTCTGCACATTTATGGCACTAATCAACGTAGTAAAAAGTTAAGTTTTATTTCCCCTCAAGTTGGGCTGCAACTGAATTTGACTTCCTCTTTACACAATTCCATTATCTCACTCTCTCCAAATGAACACGTATGTATCACTTTGATAATCAGGAAAGTTTGGTGCTAATTCCAGGTGACAACAAGAGGAAAAGTACCACTAGTTTAAAATCATTTTAAACTAAGAAACAAGGCATTTTCACAAAAGCTCAAAGATGCACGCAGGCCTTCCCCGTGGGATCACGTACCGTCGGTGACGATCATGCCGGCCTCCAAGGGCTCATCGGAAAATGTCTTGTAACTGATGCCACACGGACCCTCATGAACATTCAAAAACGACCCAACACCGTGCCCCGTTCCGTGCAGGTAATCCAGGCCGGAATCCCACAGAGCAGAACGGGCAAAGGAGTCTAGAAGATGGCCTGAAAGAGAAAAAGCCACTTGATGACATTCACACAGAACCTTAAAGAACAGATTATCTTGGGCCCGGCGCGGTGGCGCAGTGGTTAAGAGTGAATCACCAGACGGAGGATCTTCCTCTCTGTCTCTCCTCCTCTCTGTATAGCTGACTTTGCAATAAAAATAGATGGATCTTTAAAAAAACAAAGACGAGGCTCTGCCCAGATGGCTATAGGCAGGCAGGCATGACAGATGAGGAAACCAAGGCTCAGAAGGAGCGGCAGATGCCCAGCACAATGAGACTGAAGGCCCAGGTCCTGCCAGATCCCATCGCAATGCCCACCCACCAGTCCTCAAGCAAAGCACTATACAGCCAACGTCAGGGTCACAGTTACAGAAATCCCACCAAGGATCCCCCTCCCAAGCTCCAGCCCAGCACGAACAGAGAGACAGGAGGTTGCACCAACCCCTGCTCCGGCCTGAGGCCTTCATGCCCAGTTGATCCTCTGTGGGAGTTGCCCGCGGGTGTCACCCAGTAGCTTAGGGGTCAGGAGAGGAGCACACTGCACAGCTGACACTGGGCCCAATCCTACGCCAGGCTGTTGAGCAGGAGCGGCCTCACTCCATGCAGCATGCTCACCTGCCCCAGCTGGGCCTGAGATGGGCTGGGGCTGACAGGGACAGAAGGACGTGTTCTCTTCCTCCAGCCAAGACTCATTTGACTCCCAAACAAGGAAGGAGGCTGCCATACGAGAGAAGGAACCGCCTACCTTTGGTTCCGGTCGGGAAAACGGCTGCGCTCACAGCTATGTGGCCTTTGAGGACATACGTGAAACATTCCTGCCAGAGAAAACCAGAGGGGACAAACTGCAGGAAAGGCATTTCGACCCTGCAGTTTTCTTGGAGTTCAGAAAACTTCTCCTGTTAATGTTGGAGCAATACCACAAAGAAAATCAGAGTAAAGATGAAAAAAAATTCAATTCAAAAACTGTTAAAAACCTGGCCCAGGACCAATGACTCTTGAAATTAAATTGAGTCAGAGAAACAGCCCCACAGGACTTGACTGTGCAGCACACACTCTGACATGCTCTAGGTCACATGCGCCTTGGCAACGCTGGGGAAAGTAATTAAAAACTACTCACGACCCTGGCTGACATTTGCTGAGCAAGACCTCTGTGCCAGACACTCCATTTGGCATGAGACATTAAGTCCCACACTTGGCAATGGACACGCTGTCATTATCACCCCCGACAGCATGCTTGGGGGCACAGGTCCTAAGTGGCAACATCTGGCTTCAACATCTGCACTCCTTGCCACCATGCAATCCTCGGGGGTTTATCCCTCCTGCTCAGACAAGTCAAGTGCTGCTCCGAAGACTGGTGGCTGGCTGCTGAGGACCACAGCTGGGACGGGAGCTGCGCAGCCCTCAGCTTGCCAGCAGTTCTTTCCATAGCATACAAAGTCACTTCAAAGAGATGCTGAGCTTGAGGTCCAACTCGGAAAGGCACTGGAGCCCAGAAAAGGCAAGATAAGCGCCAGCGCAGTGGCACAACAGGTAAAGCCTCATCCCATATGAGCACCAATTCAAGTCCCAGCTGCTACACTTCTCATCCAGCTCCCTGCTAACGAGCCTGGAAAAGCAGCGGAAAATGATCCTGCACCCATGCGGAAGACACGGAAGAAGCTTCTAGTTCCTGGTTTCAACCTGGGCCAGCTCCAACCATTACAGCCATTTAGGGAATGACCAAGCAGATGGAAAATCTGTCTCTCCCTCTCCTTTCTCTCTAACTCTGCCTTTCAAATAAATAAATAAAGGAAGAAGAATGCAAAGCAAAAAAAAAAAAAAGGGAGACCAAAACTAAAAATCTGCCCACCATATCACATAAAACCCTTCTGCTAGAATAACCGTGCAGGGGCGCCCCTGAACAGAGACGCAGCCAACGTGCGCTGAATGACTGTGATATGAAAATCCTGGGTTCAGGGAATCCACACAGGCATCCTGGGAGACAAGAACTGAGCAAAGAGAACGGGCCACCAGCTCCCAGCTGCTACGCTTTTCTTGACTTCACAGTTCTGCCTGCCCTTTCCATCCTAGGCAAACCAGAAACTGACAGTGTCCGTCATTTCAGAAAGTCCCTACCGCGCTGAGCCTGTATCATGCTGAACTTGAAAAAACAAGGGGGCGGCTGTCAGAGTCAGACTCAGACACTGCTTGCAAAGCGTGTACTTTACCACCCCAACCCCCATCCCCAAGGATATTCCGTGACTCAAGAGAAGGCCAGAGCTATTTAAACTTGAGCCTGAGTTTCCCTGACCTTAATAGAATGCTTTTCTGAAAAAATTTCCCCAAACGTCTTGCTCTGTAATAATTAATTACATGAACCTCATAAAGCAGATAAGCCTGACTCCACAGTAATGAGCAATTTTATGATCCCACATCTAATTTTTTATTTATTTATTTAATCCCTGTTCATAAAAGCCACTCTCTTAAGAAAACAGAGAGTCTCGAGTTTTTGGCTCCATCTTACCTTCTCATAGGCTGTGGGAGTCCCAAAATGCATGGTCCGGGTCACATCTGTGGTTCCATCCCTTTCCAGAAGAAAGGATAAGTTAGTGTTCGGCCAAAGTAAGCTTTGCCTCAAGTCTGAGCCAAGTGAGGGTGTAGAGTAAAGAAACCCTCACACACTGCTGGTGGACACACACAACAGTGCGACCATTTGGACTGTGAGCTGCATCCAAGGGTAAGTATACGGTCAACATATTACCCAGCAATATTACTCCTATGAACATATTAAAAAAAAAAACCTGAAAATATGGCCACACAGAAACGTACACCTGGGTTTTTATAACAGAATTATTTGTACCACTGAAAACGTGAAGCCAACCCAAATGTCCATCAGCTAATGAAGGGGCTAAGGGGCTATGACCCATACAGTGAAGCCTTATTCAGCAACTACAAAAATGGATACTGATCTGAGTTATAACCTGAGTTAGCTCTGAAGACACTATGTTAAGTGACCAAAGAGAGACACAAGAGACAAGATTTTATTTGTGTCAAGTGCCCAAAGAAGGTAAATCCATATAAGCAGGACTGACTGGTGTTAACCAGGGAATGGGGAAAGGGAACGGCAGCTACTGATGTTCTAGAATTGACTGTGATGATGCTTACGCAATGCTACAAAAATACAACTAAAAAACTATAACCCATCAACTAAGTGAACTGTAGGCTAGTGAACTGCATCTCAATAAAAATTATTATATTGAAGCCAGCACTGTGATGTGGCGGTAAAGCCATCGCCTGTCAGGCCAGCATCGCAAATGAGCAACAGTTCATGCCACGGCTATTCCACCTCCTGCGAAAAGCCTGGAAAAAGCAACAGAAAATGGTCCAAGTGTTTGGGCTCCTGGCTCCTGATTGCAGCCTGGTGCAGAACTGGTCTTTGCAGCTCTCTGGGGAGACAACCAACAGAAGAAAGCTCTGTCTCTCCCTCTCCCTCCGTAACTCTTTCAAAACAATAAACCTTTTTTTAAAACATATTATAAAAATGAGACAAAGCAAGAAATCAAGAAGAGCTTGGTAAAATGAGAGTGAACCAAGCCCAGCACACATACACTTGGTTTTTATCCTGAGGACTGACTCACAGCAGACACATCATCACAGGGGTTATGAATGAGAAGAAGGAGAATAAAGTCAACATAGCAAAAAAAAAAAAAAAAAAACTGCACAAATTCCATTGTTCCTGTTATTTACCTAGGGGTTTATTGGGCATTTCTGAACAGATCCTAGTCTACATCCAAGACACAGAAAGACAGCTTCCAGAAGTGTGCTACAATTTACAAGTGAACAGAAGTTTCATCATTACCAAGCAAGCCAATATCCTCAGATCTAGGCTATTTTTCGTATCAATTGATACATTCCGAGACTAGGCTATGGTGACCATACAACTGCCCAAACTCATTTAATAACTGGGTTCCCCCTTAGCCAAAGTCCCAACTGCAGTGTGAAATGGAGCACTCCAAGGTCTTCGTTGGGGCCAGAGTTGTGGTGTAGCACACAAAGCTGCCATCTATAACGCCTGGGCCCACCCAAGGCCAAGAGCCAGGAGCTTCTTCTAGATCTCTCATGTGGGCCCAGGGGTCTAAATACTAGGGCCATCCTCTGCTGCATGTCCAGGTCATCAGAAGTGGAGCCACTGAGCAACACCTGCATGGGAAGCTGATGCTGCAAGCAGAAGTTTAGCTCGCTATGCCATAGTGTCAGTCTCACATCATTTTGTAAAATGCCTTGCTGGTGCTCCCTTGGCACAGATGCTATCTAGTCTCACTTCTCAACAGTTCAGAATCCAGACACAACCAAATCTTAGGTTCTCCTCTGAGAAAATCCATTCTAGAGAGGACAACCATAATAGCAGGAAGACAGAGGGAAGCAAATTCAGAAATATGCAGAAGTAGTGCTCATTTCCCATTCATCCAGAATTAATGCTCATTTAATCAAGTCTTGGGGCAGTTACAAACACCAAGAGCTAGCAAACAGCTGATGGACTGGGGCAGAAAAGTCTGTCAATGTTCCTAAACCTTTATTTTCAGTTATTACTTAGTTCTTTAATATTTAACATTTAACTGGTGAACCATCAAAACCACTTGAGCAACAACCTCGGAGCATACCCTACATCCGGGACCTGGGGAGGGTGGGAAATTGGGTGGGCCTTCTCCCTTAATATCCCCCTTTAAACATGAAGGAAACAATATGTAAATAATAGTCTTGCCCACTTTCCTATAGCCCTTGAACCTTTTTACCCTAATTAACTATGTAAAGATTGTCAAAAATATAATAAAAAAAAAATTAAAATATTTAACATTTAGTCAAGGACTAAATATTTCTGTCAGTCACAACTGGGCCACTTCAGTGGGGGGTGAGAATAGGCCCACGCTCAGGGCAAGGTCAAGAGCACAGAAAGTGGCTCCCCGCTGAGGATTCTCGGAGAACCCTGGCCCACCTCCTCAGCTGCCCCAACTCCACCACGTCCAGTTCACTTACTTGTACTGGGCACCCGAATCAATGAGGTAGACTTCATCCAGGGACAAGGTCCTATTCGTCTCGGGGACTGGCCTAACAAAGTTAATTCAACATTTATTCCACACATGCAAACATGTCAAGAATCTGAAGAGAAGGGCATACAAGGGTTTCTTTTTTCATTGTTACAACTTTAAGTCTGAAATTATATCAAAACTAAATGTTACTCAAATAAATTACTTATTCCAACTAAGTTTCAAAACCCCATTCAACTATCAAGAGAACATCTACCTCTGTTATCTAGAACAAAACAGTGCTCAAGAGATCATTTTAAATGTCACCAAAATGACTGACACAAGCAATAGGACCAAGCTAGAGTTGTGGCTCCCAGGTACGGGGCAGCCTGGAGTCACCACAGCCCCATTAGACTCTGGGAGTCCCCACCCCTCAGCTTCCAGGGCCCTCCTTCAGCCCCGACCCCATCCCGTGCCTCCCCTCTTATACCCAAATCCAGCAGACACAGAGCAGGTGGAAGGGATGTTGCCAGGAAAGGGAATGAATCATGATGCTCTAAAAGCTGAAACACTTTTTCCAAATGAACACGAGGCATTTTGGAAAGGGAGCCACTTTCCCCACAGCATTTTCCAGAGGCTAGCACTGCGCTGGGAAATGCCCACAGAGAGAAACAGCTCCAGTTTGTGTCCTGCCACAGAAGCAGGGCTGCCCTGCACTTCCAGGTACCACCCCCTCTTCAGCAATAGAGCACCAGCTGGCGCCCAAGCTGAGCAATTAACACACACCCAGGCATGGGCCCAGCCTCTAAGAGCCTAATGAAGAAATGACAAGGAAAAGCAAATTTCTCCTTCCTCGCTTTGAAATCAATGTTTCTATTACATGCAAGATTCCAGGAGAGTCGCCAGGCAGGAAATCCATCAGTTAAGTCACACAGAAGACAAAAAGCGAAACTCCTTTGACATTTTGATGTTGGAGCAGAGGCACTAACGTGAGAGAACTGCACTGTCACACTGTGACTGTCTCCCACACACAGCTTCAAAAGCTGCCCTGCGACTGTTAAAAAGGGGGCAAAATCTGTAGCCAAGGACGTCATGGAAAGACAGAGTGTTCTCTTGCTGGCTGTGCAGATCACACATGAGGCCCCATGGGACTCAGAACGCCCAGTGCAAAGCCAAACCGTCGGAGCTAGGTGAAACTGAAGGCGAAGTCTGTGTCTACAGCCATCTCACACCATCTCCACGGGAGACCTGCCAGTGCCAACACACCAGCACCCCTCCTGCCCCTCCTGTCCCACAGTCCCGGGAGTCTCTCCTCAGCTGATCCACTGCCCAGCAAGCAACACGTGGTAGCAACTCCCATGCCTGGGATGCCAGGTCCAGGGAAGACAGGGCTGGCACAGATGACCTTTCTACCCAAAACAGGTGGTCCCGCAGCCCAGAGACAAGCCTCGTGGGAGGTGTGGAGCTCAGAGGATGCGTGGGGAGAAAGGACTGCAGAAGCTCAGGGCAACGAAAGCCTCCAAGGAGAAGAGGGTAAGCCATCAGGCTGCCTAGCTGGGAATGTCGGTGCCACTGCAGGCCTGAGAACAGGCTGCGGACCGGCCCAAGCCGAGGGGACCTGCGGGCAAGAAGAGGAAGACAGGCCTCCAAGGACTGACATCCCCTCGCCACACCATCCTAACACACACCCGGAGCTGGACCCCAGGGCCTCGGGTAAAAAGCCCATCTCCCCTGCTCAGAATCCTGTGTGGTCGCAGTGGCAAAGCCAGGCCCCGCGCCCCTCCGCATGCCTTACGCGTAGTGAATGATGGCGCCGTTGGGCCCCGTGCTGGAAATGGTTGGGAAGCTCAGGTCCACAAAGTCGGCCTGCTGCCTGGAACAGACACACACGGGGTGGGGCAGCTTAGAGGCCCTTATGGTGCAGGGAAGGACCAGGGCCCTTCCAGGCCTGTTTGGCTTCACAGAACTCCACATCAGATTCCCTCCCAGCCGCTCCAAACAGCTCCTTACCTGCGAAACTCCTCAGCTTTGTCCGCAGCCGAGATCTCCGTCACACCACCTTTGGGCACCTGCAAGCAAACAAGTTATCAATCCTCTGGCAGACTTTCACCTGGGCCTCCCACCACTTGGGGAAGGTCTGCTGAAAGCTTCCTTTTCCTCACGCCTGCACCCCAACTGTTCAATCTACACGACACAGCTCAAATTCAACAAGACGAACTTTCAGAGGCTCTGCCCCAGTGTACCTCAAGTGGAAGGTTTCTATTGGCTTAGCTCATCTTTCAACTCAGCTAAGATCTCCTGAAGCCTCAAAATCTGAATACACCTTAGTTTTAAAATTGCAGAGTTGGGGCCAACGCTGTGCTACAATGGGTTAAACCAGTGTCCACAGTACCAACATCCTTTAAGGGCACCAGTTCAAGTCCCAACAGCTCCACTGCTGATCCAGGCCCCTGCTACTGTGCCTGGGAAAGCAACAGAACACCAACTAAGTGCTTGGGCCTCTGCACCATGTGGGAGACTCAGGTGACACTCCTGGCACCTGGCTGCGGCCTGGCCCAACCGTGGCTAGTACAGTCATTCAGGGAGTGAAGTGGCAGATGAAAGATCTCCCTGTCTCTCTCTCTCTCAAATTTTGACTTCCAAATAAATAATGAATACTAAAAAAAGAAAAATTGCCGAGCTTCCCTCCAGGCAAATCATCCTAAGAAAATTATTCCTGAAGAAATAAAATAGGAAAGCCAGTTAAAGCCAGTTATGATTGCAGGGCTATTGACGATACAAATAATAATGATAATAAAATAGATTAAAAGCAAAATAAACACTCTTAAATATTCAAAAACAGAAGGATGGATAAATCCGGCAGTCCAGCTCTCGCAATCTCTATCGGAAACACTCCCCCTGTGATTCTCAATGAATAAAATAAACAAAACACAAAACTGTGTCTATACCCTGGGAGACGCACAGAAATTATTTACCTTTTAAAAGTGATTTATATAGATAAACAATAGCCAGAGGAAATACGAGGGAGAAAAGAAATTACACTGGTAGAAATAAGGGCACTTCAAATTAAAGACTTGTTTATATAATATTTAAAGGAAACATGATATTGTTTAACAACAGAACAAAAACGATTTCCCTCTTTGTCAAGCACAGGGAGTGGAAGAGCAAGAAAACAGGCCTGGCATGGTGGTTCAGTGGGTTAAATTCTTGCCTTGTAACAGCCAGGATCCCATATGAACACTGGTTCATGTCCCGGATGTTCCACTTCCCATCCACCTCCCTTCCTGTGGCCTGGGAAAGCATTAGAAGACAGCCCAAAGCCCTGGGACGCTGCACCCACCCAGGGGAAGAAGCTCCTGGCTCCTGACTTCAGATCGGCTCAGCTCTAGCCGTTGCGGCCACTCAGGGAGTGAACCAACAGACAATAAATCTGAGTTTACAATAAAAATAAATAAAGAACTCTTAAGAAAGAAAGAGAGAGGGGGAAGGAGAGAGGGAGGGAAGGAAGGAAGAGAAGAAAGAAAGGAAGAAAGAAAAAACTAAGAGCCAAGAGTCAATTCAATGCAAATAGCTTTCTGGTTTAGAGTTTAAAATGCACAAAGCTCTCCTGCCAAGTCAGCTTGCCTATCCTAACATTCTAAGAGCCATGTTTCCTTACAATAAAATTCTAGTGAGCTACAAAAACAGATTCACTCTAATTTCTTCATCCTTATCACTACTTTCCACAATTTAAGCAATTTTTCCTAAATACATGCACCAAATTCCGAGAAAGAACCACTGAGAGAGAAGCATGGAAACTGGATAAAGATGACAGACAGATCCACCCGGGGGCCAGCGTGGAGTCCCGACCACCAAGCACCCACCTCCTTCTCCAGCCAGTTGAAGAGTTCACAGAGGGCAACGGCGTCTTTAATCTGCGCAAACAATAAAGATGGGAGTGGACGTTATCACTGCAGACGGAGCAGCCAGTTTCAGAGCCCGGTGCTCACAGGATGGCACAGGGCGGCAGCTGCGGGGGCCCTCACTGTCACCAGGGCTTTACACCCGGGCGTCCCCCAGACGCCAGTCAGTGACAGCTCCCACGGTCGAGAGGGCACCCATCTGCTCAGCAGCTCGGGCACAGTGCTGGAGGGCCCCAGCTCAGAGCACAGGGAGCTCCCGCGCGGCCCGGTGGACACATCGACATGTCTAGGACCCTCTACCTTGAAACACACCGGGGACTTTTGCAGAGACTCCTCTGGCATCACATCCTCCCCAGCAGCTACAGGCTCATCAGCAGCAGCTCCCCTTAGGCTGCGTGTCATACTCGCTGAAGATCTAATCTGCTGAGCGATCTCACTGTCGCTAACTCAGAAAAACCAGGAAGGTTTTCTTCCAGCGCTTCCAACCTTGTGCAGGCCCAGGCCACCCAGGGGAGGCAGCCGGGGTTTGGACTCCCGCACGGCCCCTGCCCCGCGCAGGCTGCTCCACTCACGTGCGCCCGCCGCATGCCTTCAGACTCAGCTGAATTCTTCACAGCTTTGGCGATGCAGATGGGGGTATAAGGCATACAACAGCGGTGACCCTGGAAGACAAGGGGCAGAGGGTGGGATGGGAAGTGGAGCCAGGGACTAAGGCGGAATGCACCTGCCACAGATTCTAAGGACTCCCACTCTGGACCCTCGCGGCTGCCCGCTGTGACCTGAGAAACCTGCCCTTTCGAAGGATGACCTGAGCGGGACAAAAGGGGCATGGGGAAGGGCCCAGCACATCACAAGGCTCTCTCCTCCACTCCCATCCCCCGCACTCTGTGACCACTGGCTGCCAGCCAGCAACAACATTTGCTCTCTCCAAGCCCCTGCGGTTGTGGTCAGGGTTCACTAACTGCTCAGCATTTGACCGAAATAACCCCACTCCTGCTGCACAAAGAGGGCTTTTACCCCCGTGTGGGGCACACAGGACTGGTGAGAGGGTGCTCCCTGCCCCTGGGGCCACGGTGCAGTACTGTAAAGGGTCCTCCCAGCTGGAGAACGAAGCTTAGCCCAGTGCGGGAGAGGGACCCTCAGCACACGTGCACCCGCCCAGCTCTTCAACAACTGCTTTCACTTTCTTCACCCTCCTTAGGCGGTTCCCTTTTCTCTCTCACACACACACACCCCTCCTGAAACAGCGAAAACATGCATATTCCTCAATCAGGTCAAGAACGCAAAACACCGAGTGGCTTGCTAGAAGCCACTCGCCATGTGCCAGTGGAAGGGGAGCCAAGGGGAAGCCGGGTCTACAGAGACAGGTCCTGGGCTCTTCCCAGAATGTCCAGCTGGGGCAGGCCAGCAAAACAGCTTCCATCGAAAGAGCTGCCCAGATGCTAAAGGCAATGGGTGGCAGTTGCTCAGCATCACCCAGCAAGGAGCTCAGTAACATTATGCTATCACTGCAGGGGGGTCCCCAACTTTCAAGCATTCTCCTCTCATCCTGTTCAGCACGTAGTCTAACTGCTTAGCCCCTGCACCCATATTTACTGCGCGCTTTTCTTCAGATCAGCTTCATAGCCATTTAGTTTATTCAACTCAATTTTATCAAATAATTTTTATAAATTCATGATTTCATATGCTTGGGGTTTTTTTCCTACCACGCACTAAATGTTATTCAACATATTTACATCAACCTAAGTATTAATGGGTGCCGCCTGAACTCTTGCCTCGCTGCACACTCAGAAAAACACAAAACTCCTAACATGGCTGCAGTTCTTAGGGCCCATCCAGGGATGAGAACACTCAGACCTCAGAGCCCACGCCAACCCCACAGCCAGCACCCGAGACGTGGCGGCATGACTCTGTGGGGCTGCCAAGGAGCTCTCAAGAGACCAGAGTGAGGTTCACCAACCTTGGGGATGGCCTCGCTCACGGCGTAGCTGGCCTTGTCGCTGACCCACACCTTCTCCCTCGGAGAGAGGCCAGCACACAGGGTCTTGAGCTCGCTGAGCACGGCCTTGTAGGGAAGCACCTGGATTCTGTATTCGGCTTCCAGGCCCAAGTCGAGCAGCAGGTGTTGCTTCACACTGGGCTCGTCTATGCGGTCCCCGTCGATGAAGAGCCTGCAGAGGGGCCGCAGGGAGGTGGTGACAGAGACAAGAGGGCACCTGAGTGACACATCAGACTCCGTCTCCTGCCTACCCAAGCCATGTAGCTTTTCCTTCCTCCCACCCATTTCCCGAATCCCGCCCTCCAACGTGGGTTTCCTGTCCTGGTTCTACTGTTGTCGCCCACCCTGTTCTCCAAGCCGCAAGCCTGGGCATCACCCTCCTCTCCACACCCCTCCTCTTCCCTGGGAACTGGCAGCTGACACCCCACATCTCTGCCACATCTGTCCAGCCACATGTGTCTCAGCCTCACCCAGTCTCCACCGCCCCTCATCTGGATCAGTGCCACAACCTCCGGGACTGGCCTCAGGCAGGCCAGTTTCCACAACCAGAACATTCTTTATCATTTACAAGCCTCAGTGTGAGGTTCTCTCTGGAACATTCACTCCGTGCTCCCTGTCAACCTCAGGACAAGCAGCCAAGCCTGGGGCCTAGGGCTTTCCTTCGCCGTGACCCCTGCTTGCCGTCTGGCCTCCCACTTCATGCTCCAACTATAATGAGCCACTCTGGCCCCTGCTCACACAGCCATTCCTCCCCTCAGAGCCCTGGAAATGCTGCTCAGACCACACTCCCCCCTCGCCTCAGCCCACCCATTATTCAGCTAAGGCATACCTACTCTGAGTTTTTGTTTCAGTATTACTTTCTTCAAGAACCTCTTCTGAAGCCCCGGTCCAGTTTAGCCCCACCTTATGGTGCCTACACCCAGTCGGCTAACAAGTTGGAATCCACCTCTGTGCCTTGGGGAAGGGACACTCAGCCCCCCGGCTCTAACCTAGGATTCTCTGTGTCTTCACCCCCCAGCACCTAACGAAGGGCCCTGGCACACAGCAAACACTTGAAGATACCCTGAACAAACAGAGCCACCCAAATCAAAGAGCAGTGGCAGCAAGGTCACAGGCCTTGGAAAGAGAAACCAGCAGTCTACAAAAGCACCTTTCAGGGGGATTTTCCACATAACTTCTCACCTTCAAAACGACGAGCCTTCCGTCATGCATTGTGGACCCAGATCTAGTTCCCTGAACCCATCCAGCCATGACATATTGGCCAGCCCGGGGTCAAACGTGAGGCCTGAACTAGGGGACTCCAAGAACGAATCTCATTCTAGCGGCAAATCTCATAGAGTTACAGATACACTCACAGGTTTCCAATTGTTTGGGGAGTTAAAAGAGAGATAGGATATAAACAAATACGATGAGAGAGGACAAGAAGGGAAAGGAGAAAAGGCAGGAGAAATGAAGCATGTTAACGAGGCGTCAGGCAGTGGCTGGTATGCAGGGGCCAGGCGGGGGAAGGAAGTTGCAGGTGGCAGGGCGAACACTCACATGATCGTGTCTAGTCCTATGATTGCATAAGAGAAAAACACTGGATTGTGCTCCACGTCTGATCCTCGGAGATTGAACAGCCCTAAAAAAAAAAAGAAAGAAAGAAACCAAAGGCTCTGTCACCTGCCAGCCTTGGGGTTTTTTTGAAGCTGAAGGAAAGGGCTTTTGGCACCAGCTGCTATGGCCTGACCCCGCGGTTCCACCTCTGAGTTGCTGTTGTTCATGTCTGCCACCAGATGGCACCAGAACTGCTCCTTAGGCCGCCACATGGCCGCCGTCTCCAAAGGGAACAGAAGAATCAGCAGAGGGAAAAACAGGATAACCTCCCCTGCCGCAAGGGGCTGAGGAGTCCACCTGGGAGCGTCCCTGCCAGGCCAGCCTTGCTGCAGACTAGCCACAGGCGCTCCCAAAGGAGGTGGAAGGAGCCATGCACTCTCCCTTCACAGGCAAAATGACCTAGGGGAGGAACACTGGGACCCAGCCACAAGAAGGCCCCTTGGGTGAGAGCCCCACGGGCAGCTTCCCTCTGAGGCAGAGCAAAAGCAGCAAGTCATGGCCGGAGTAGTCCCAGGCCAACTGAGGCCCATGAATGAAACCAGCACCTGGGGTCCGCCCTGGATGTGCCATGGGACCAGAGATGACTGGTCTAGGGCAAGATGGAGGGTCCAAACAGGCCCCCTACAGATTGTCCCTGTCCCCAGGCAGGAGGGTCTGGGTTATTCAAAGCACCGAGCCTTCTTAAAAACAGTGGTTTTCCCAAAGAAACAGGAGGCACCATTTAAAAAAAACATCAGAGGCTGGGGCTAGTGAGATGTGGCCAGATGTGGCCAGATGTGGTTTTCTAGAGGTAAGCAGCCGCACACTATCCCTGAATCCACAACACTACCCCACAAAGCAGCCACACCAGGGAAACCAAAAGTTATCAGAAACCAAGAGACTTATGATCCAAGTTTTTCACGGTTGCATCATTCTGATAGTGTATTTCATACGCACTTAACATTCTGCTTATAGTCTGTAGATACACTGAAAAAAAATCCCGCTATAAAACCCAATCCGTGCAAAGCACAGTAACACAAATTATGAGTGGGCGGGAGAATTTTGGGTAACTGGTTTTTCTTTCTTGATATTTTCCATAATGGAAATATGCTTTTTTGAAACTACCTTTATGTGTCTTTTTCTCTGCTGGTGAAGTTACTACATTAATGAAAGGTTTAAATCACTGGTACACCTGACAGAGTTTTGGGGGAAAAGGGGTGAGGCAGGGTCAGTGTTGTAGCATAGCCACTCTGGCATCCCCTACTGAATTGCTGGTTTGCTTTCTGCCTGTTCCACTTCCAATCCAGCTGCCTGATAATGTACCTGGGGAGGTAGCAGATGTTGGTCCAAGTGTTTGGGTTCCTGTCACCCATGTGAGAGACCCAATGGAAGTCCAGCCCAGCCCGGCCTCAGCCATTCCAGCCTCTTGGAGGAGTAAACCAGCAAATGGAAGACCTCTTTCTATCTCTCCCCACCTCTCTGTTTTATCCACCTTTCAAATAAATAAATCTTTAAGGAAAAAAAGAGAAGGGAGGAGAGGTAAGAACTGAAGAGACAAGATACTGTGTGGTGGGGCGCCTCCTTCCCTGAGCGAGAAAGTAGAAAGATAAAGCTGGGCCTCTTCTCGGCTGCCCTGGGTCAGATCCAGTCAGAATCTCCTAGGAGACGGAACAAGAAGTCTCAACCAGACTCCTTCAGGTTCTAGAAGACAACAAAGAGTCCTATACAATTACAAGAGGGTGGTTTGGGGACTAAAGATTGAGAAAACACTTCTGTATCAAAAGGGCAGGGCTTGGTACAGAATGGCCAGTTCTGGAGTTTTCTGAAGTAAAATGTTTCTAGAACATTCTCACTGTGAAAATCTTGGGGAAAATGCAGGAAAGCTACAATGAAAAGAAGGATCTACAATCTCACTTGTCTTACCTGCAGCAGCTGACACACAGCAGATGTGCGTAGGAAATACCCTTCGGGAGTAGCCAGTCCTTAGAATGGCCCACGGTGGACACGTCTCTGGCTGTGGCACCACACAAGGCCATACCCCTCACCCCCAGACCCTGTACTCTGTTCTTTATCCTCACTGGCATCTGTGCCCATCTGGTAACAGCCCCTTGCGTAGCCCCCGCCACCCAACCCCCGGCCACTCAGAAAGCTCAGTGGCATAGATGCACAGAGACCCAAGGGCAAGATCAGGCAACGGGCCCTAACAGGGAAAGCAGAGCACTCACATGCAACCTCATCCAGGGCAGTGACCACAAACCACACGATGTTCCTCTCAGCCATTTTCAACCGAAGGTCTGCAACCTTCTCCTTCCAGGAGATGCCTGCAAGAAATAAATATGCCTGTGAACCCAACCATGGGCCCAAAACAGCCAGGGGAGTCAAAGGAGAGTCCTCATGGCAAACACCCTCGCCCAGCACCAAATGGCCCGTCCAGGCAGGTTTGCATCCAAGCTCCTTGCAAGAGTTGGGAACCTGCCTCAGCCCTCTAACTTATGGGAACTGACTGCCTCACCAGCAACCTTCATCTATTTGTTCATTCCACAAATGCCCGGCAAGCCTCAGGACTGGATCAGTAATGGCAGACACTATGCAGGTCACCATGGGTATAGCTCAGGGCTAGAAACACTCTAGCAGGAAAGACTAACAATAATGAGCACTAACAGCGGAACTTGAAGCTGGTACAATGGGCGGGCACAGGGAGACAGGTGCACACTCCAGCCGCCAGAGCGACCCGCCCCGTCTCAGGGTTCAAGGAGCATCACCCACCCGATGACACTCCCACTGGGCCCTAGGAGTCCGCCGCGGTCTGACACACAGTGACTGCCACTTCCAAGTCACACGTGTGCTGTCCGCCACAGCCTCCCTGTTGCTCCCCAGGAAGAAACGGTGGCCCACGCCAGAGGAGCTTACCCCATCACCACCACAACCACCCCACCACCGTGCCACTTGTAAGTTCCATCCACCTGTGAATAGGAGGGGCCTCTGACTCATTCACCCAGTACCTAGCAGTGTTCTGCATGCGCCGCGGACACTCAAATGTTTGTGGAACAAGTTTTACCAGCCACGTTTTCTCTTACCTCTCCTACAGCAGCAGGTTGGAGCCTGTTTCAGTGAGGGGAGGAGAAAAATTCAAACCCTGCTGCTGGAAAATGTTGAGCAGACCCTGGGTCACTCGTGGGACCCATGGGACCCGTTCTCCCCAACCTGCAAGGCCCCACAGTGAGGGTGGTGCCTAGGAAGGCAGGCTGGGACTGCCTCCACAAAGACCAGCTCAGGTCGCTGTCTGCAACTTGGTTCGCGGTCCAGACTGCAACGCTTTCTTCCCGGACCCCTCTGGGCAATCTGCCTACATTCCACAGATAGCCCGCCTCCACCTCTGTTTCTATAGCAAGACCTCCTCCCCTGAAACTCCATCTCCTCGGCCTCTCCTTCTCTCCTTCCCTGTTCCATAAATCCACATTCATCTCTCATAAACGGTTTGCAGAACAGACTCCTCCTCCACCATGATCACAGAGGCTAAAGAAATTCCCCCACATTCAACGACTCCAGAGCAGAAGGCGCAAGCTAAGAAAAGTGGGGGGCCTGGCAGGCACACCCCCCAGTGTGGGAAGCAGAAAGGAAGTGGAGCCTAGCAAGCCCCAGGCTCCATTTCCAGTTAGGCTGCACTTCCAGTCAGTGGCAGGCAGCGGCAGCTCAGCCCTCTCAGAAGCACTCAAAATTCCACCCAAGGGAGATGTGCAAAAACAAACTCACTTGGCAAGCAAGTGGCAGCCGTGACAACAAAACCAACCCTACTTGGTTCCACTGAGCCAAGCAGGACAAAGCCCTCGCAGCAGTTCAGCCTCCACAAGGACTCACGGGCCTGGCTGGAGACAAGGCGAGAGGTGGGCCCAGCCACGGCTCTCACCTGTGTAATCCAGGCCCAGCGTGAGGAGCGGCTTGCAGGGCCGCTCGGGACGGTCAGTCCAGATCTTGTCGACAAGGTTCTCCTTGACCGGAACGAGGTGGTGGCCAGCACTCCTTAGGACCTTGGCCATCTTCTTCCAGTAATCTGAGGAGACATACGGTACATGGCTGCCCATCTCAGCTAGGGCAAGCAGCTGGGCTTCCGGGATCCACACTGGGGGTGCAGGACAGAGCTAGGAAAGGACACCTCCAGCAGCAACAGCCATCCCAGAAATCTCCTCATTCCGACCTGCACGGTGACACTGAGTCACCCTGATTTGCCAAATGCCACCAACACAGAGCACAGAAAGGTGTCTAGAAGCCAAACTGGCAGGGAACAAACCCACTCACCTGTAGGAATGATCAGGGGGTCCACACCAACCCTGGACCCCTCAGGAAGCACACTCACTAGCCAGTCTTCCTGAGTCGGGGTGTCCTTCAAACCTAGAGAGGGGAGAACCAACGGGCAGCAATTCCCAAGCGAGCCCAGGCTCATCACCCCACCCACAGGAAGGCAATTCACCAACATTATGAGAGCAGGGTTTTTTGTTAAGCATCTTCTTCAAGGCAGTTTGATAAGACGTGGAAAATCTGAACCTCCCTTTATCTTGGAAGGCTAACTGAAAGAGAAGGACTGGTGTAAGGAAAAAGTAAGATAAGGATAAGACAGAGGGGAAGGTGTGACTGTCATTCAACCCTGCGGAAAATAGCATCCTGCGGGCTGCTGCCCCACAGGGACATGGTGACATCACAGGGATCGCCTCGTTAGCATGAATCCCTTCTCCCCTACTGCTTACCCAACAAGAACTTGGATGGGAAGCTGGTAAAATCTGGCAGCAGGAAACCACTCTCATGTCACATATCAAGGGAGGGACAACACGCCACCACCAGCGCTCTCTGTCCCTGCACCTGTTGGGCAGGGTCGCAGAGGGAAAGTGCCCTGAGCACAGCTGGCCAGCCAGGGACACAGGGAGCCTGATGTTGGTGCAGCAGAGCCCCTGAGCATCTCCAAACATCAGACAACTCTTTCTTGTTTTTATTTATTTAAGTACTCATTTACAAGACAGAGAAACAGAGAGAGAGGGAGGGAGAGCCATCTGTTAGTTCACTCCCCCAAATGCTACTGGCAAGCTAGATCTGGACCAGACTGAAATCAGGACCAGCCAGGAAACGGAGTCCCTGGGCCTTCACCTGCCTCCCAGGACACACCAGCAGGCACCTGGATCAGAAGCAAAGCAATCAGGGCCCAACGGCTAAACCCTTGCAACCGCCGGGATCCCATATGGATGTTGGTTTGTGTCCCAGTTGCCCCACTTTCCATCCAGCTCCCTTGGGACCCTGCATCCACGTGGAAAACCCAGAGGAAGTTCCTGACTCCTGGCTCGGATTAGATCAGTCCAGACACTGCAGTCACTGTGGATGGAAGATCTTTCTCTCTGCCTTTCCTTCACTTTGTAAATTGACCTTTCCAATTTAAAAAAAAAAAAATGAATCTTTTAAAAAAGAAAAAGAAGAACTCAAACCAGCACTCCTGTATGGGACACCAGCATCGCAAGCAGTGGTTTAAGCCACTGTACCACAATGCCAGCCCCCAGACACTGGTTACAGCACACTAAAAAAACTTCCAGGAAGGAACCAAAGTTGTTTTCATAGCCCGATTTTACTTTAATGCCAGCCAAAATCTTTGGAATGCATGCTTTTTTAAACCAACCAGATTTTTGCTTAAACAATTCACATCTTGGTAAAATGCATGTGTATTTGGAGTGAAAAGTTCACATATTCTAAAACACTACTTATCCTAACTATTTCCCCACGGACTCCTGCTATAGCCACATAACCTCAGAAGGGAAGTTCAAGGGTTATAAGGAAATGAGTTTCTGAAGTCCACTTCTAAAAGTCTGCCCAGAAGTTGGCAATGAGTTTCACTTTTCAATTTGATAATTTCCTATTTTTTTTTTCAATCCTCCAAACAAGTCATTTATTGATACAGTTTTTCTTGGTGGCCGTCTCATAACTTTTGCAGGATAAAGCCATGCCTTTTCCTAGCTAGTAGCTCTTTGGCAAAATCCCAAAGCGGAATCACTCACTGGCCAGCCGACCCCACTAGGCTCTCCCTCCCCAGGAGACACAGCTGAAGGAGGGACGGCAAACCAGAGAGGGCTTTGGGATCAGACGGCTTACCACCACCCTCACCACCAGTGCGGCTGACTCCGAGAACAAATGCCGTTGGTTCCTCTGACACACACATGCCAAAGGGGCTAACCAACCTGACAACTGAGTCTGTGGGTCCCAAAGAGGGAGCCGGCACCCCATGGGTACACTCAACAATCCACCGGATACAAGGATGCAAAGTTTCTGAAATTCTATTTGCATTTATTTTTTCTTGAAAGAGAACCAATACATTAGTATTTGCTAATATTTGGAATACAGATGGACACCCGTACATGAACACAGCATCTAAATAAATAAATATCAGGTTGAGGGTGCCTGACTCCATTAGTGGATGCGTGTAATCCACAAATGTAAAGGTTGGGGCCAGTGTTGTGGCATACAAGGTTAAGCTTCATACCTAACATGCCAGCATCTTATATGGATACCAGTTCATAGCACAGCTGTTCCACTTTTGATCCAGCTCCCTGCTTATGGCCTGGGAAAGCAACGGAGGATGGCCCAAGCATCAGGCCCCTGCACGCATGTAGGAGACCTGGCGGAAGCTCCAGGCTCCTGGCTAGAACCCGGGCCAACCCAGCTGTTATGGCCATTTGGGGAGTGAACCAGTGAATGAAAGACATCTAGCTATCTATCTCTGAGTCTGTCCTCCCCACTCTGGAACTGCACCTATCCTAAAATGGAATTTAAAAAAAAATTATTAACCTGCCCGTTTATAAGCACCTCACCTGCTTAGGTCGGGGTGTGGATGCGATGCGAGAGAAAAAGAGGAAGTAATTGCAGCAATAACCCACCAGGAGTTCTTAACATGTCTAAGATTTCTGAGACACAGAAATGAAAAATAATCTCATTGTCAGAAAGAAAACGGGCTCAGCCTTTCCCTAAGACAGACACCCCGCACCCCTGCACGCAGAGGGTGTGGCACACGCGGCCCTCATCAGCAAAGCTGCCAAACCCGCACCCGCTCCCCGCGGTGAGAGCCGGGAGGCGGGCTTTGCCTCATCTTTGCTTGTTCTCCTGGTCCTTTTGCTCCTTCCTTAGTCTCTGCTCCCCAAGTTCAAAATTCAGGAGGAAAAAGATCTTTACACGAGTATTAAAGCTGTGTTTCCCAAGATTACTAGAATGACAAGGAAAAAACAGACGCGGCACAAAGTTCAGTGAAAAGGCGCATGCGTGCGCACACACACACACACACGCACACACCCCCGAGGCTCTCCGGTGAACTCTGAGCTGGGCACGTTCTGTAAATGATCTCTTTCACCCTTTCCAATTCATGGGACGCTCACTAGGGACTGTCTCATTTGCAGATGAACAAACCGAGACTCTGAGCGTGAAGGAGCTCGCCCAGAACTTTCAGATCCATGCTCCTGCCTTGTACACTGCCCACCCACATCTGGCAGATGCCAAACGCTTTCCGCATGTTCAGCCCCGGGCAGGGCCCAGTGGAGACTACAAAGGAGAAACAAACCCAGCGTGCTTAGGAACAGCCTTGAGAAGGCTCCCTGGGCTTCTGAAGCCAACAGCCCCTTGCCTTCATGTCACCTTGCATCACAAGGCAGCACACAGCAGCAGGGAGGGTACCAGCGTAAGGTTCAACAGCATGGCGCACTATGCCCTGTGCGGGCCTCAGCTTTCTCTTGAATCAGGACCCTCCAAAACTGAACCCGCACCAGGATGGACAAATGAGCAGGCCCTTTCTTTGGTTTTCCTTCCATTTGCAAAAGGATTAAGGTCCAGGAAGCCTGAGGAACTCCAGGGTCCTGGCCCAGGTCATTCCAGCTAAAGCTACAGGAACCAGGCCTCCACTCACCCATTTTCATGAGCGTCCAGTTGCTGTCCATCTGCTTGGCAGCCTGAAGAAAGTAACGCCCATCAGTCCACATGGCCGCATGCTCTTCTGTGACGATGGCTGTGCCTGGAACAGGGCAGCAGAGCAAAGGAGGTTCCTGACAACTGCCCGGAAGCTGCACAGAGCAGCATGGGCAGGCAAGGCAGCAACAGGCATCATCTCCCCAGCATGGTTGAGGGCTGCCGACTCCAGAGAGACTGCCAGGCAGGAGAAGGCGACACTACTGAGAACCAGCTGGGGTCAGGCTCTGAAGGAGCCAATCCCAAGACTCAGGCTCCCTGCACAGGACGGACCCCACTCACACTGCAGGAGTGCAGGCCAGAACAGCAGTGAACTGCAGGTCTGGGCCAGGGGGATGCATCATCAGTGAGACAGAAGTGGAGGTAGTGCCTGCTTGGGGGTGACAGCTGGTCCCCTGTCCTGTTAGGCTTCCCACTTGCAAAGAGAGGCCAGTAAGAACTGTGCATGTAACTCAATGGTCACCAGCAGGGAGTTGGCGCCTCCCGTCCTCCCTGCCCTCAGTTCCCACAGTCCTGGCAGTACACGACTTTCAGGAGAGGTGTCAGCCAAAATGAGTCTCGATGTGCCAATCAACACATGTACTTCCGCCAAAGGTAGCACTGTGCTAACCACAAGGCTGAGGGGTTCCACCTCACCTAGCTTGCTTTAGGGCTGGAACCTGAACGGGAAAACTCCCCCTAAAACTCAAGGGCATAACAGTGATGGAAAAGACAGGAGAGCAACAGTGTTCCTTTGTTCCCTAAGGCAAAAGCAAACAGAAACTAAAAGCCAAGCACCTGCAGAACCACATGGGACTGATAAGCCAGGCTGCAGGTGCTGGGATGCTAATAAAGTGACTTGGGGTGCTCATTTCAGAGGTATATTCGATTGAATTGATACCATTTCCTAGGACTATGCCATATTAATGAACATTTCAAAAATATTTTTGAAAGCAAAGGCTGAGAGAGAGCAAAGGGGTCACTAACAGGTGACGTTGGAAAGCCACACTTTCCCTGCAGGGGCTCAGCAAGGAACATCTGGTCTGCATTTTCTTCTTGGTGCTGTACCACAGGCTGAAGTATGGTCCAGCTATGTTTGGGAGACAGACCGAAATGCGGCAGGAACTGAGAACTGAGCCACTCACCCGCAGAGCCATCGAATCCAGACACAAAGGCCCGCCGGCAGTCACACGGAGCAATGTACTCGCTCTGAAAAACAAAGATGACAACGAACTGGACCTCCATCTGGCGAGTGCCAAATGCTTTCCGCATGTTCAGCCCTGGGCAGGGCCCAGCGGGGACTACAAAGGTTGGGGAACCCTTGGAACCTGGCCGCCAGAAACCGCCGGTCTAGCTAAAAAGACAAGCTGAATGTGTCAAAATCAATTAGAACACATTGCAGAAGGCTAATTAATTAAAGGCTGAAAGCTGTTCCTTCCCTCATTTAGAGGATAATGTCAAGAAAAACAGATAAAAATTGCTCCTTCCTCATAACAGTCTTTAAAGAAAAAAGAAGAAAGAAGGAAAGAAACGAATTGCCTGTTCTCTCTTTGCCACTGACTTTCAGGCATCTGCTAGTTTTCTGAAAAGTGAGGTTGAATTTCCACGTTGAGCACCAATAATTCTCTGCCTGAAGTCTCCTAAGATGCTACCTTGTTGCCAAACTTCCTGTTTGCATTCCCCTCCAAGGCAGTGTCACTGGTCTCTCCCACACAGGCCGTGTCCCTTCCTGCCAGGGAATCAACAGAAGCACTTCCTCCGAGCCAGGAAACATGATTCCAAACCCCGCTGCTTCCCAGCTGATCCCCCTTCCTCTCTGTAAGGGAGGAGGTGAGTGAGAGGGGCAGGGAAAGGTTCTCCCAGCCAAGCAGAGAGCACAGGCCAGGGTATGCAACAGCACCAAGAGTATAAGTAACTGGCTCCAAGTCACACAGCTAGCTTGAGCAGCAGGACTGACTCCAGGCAGTCAGCACGCAGCCCGAGGCCACCACATGACCCCTCTCCCTCCCCACACTCCAGGATAAAGTCCAGGCCAATGAGAGAGCTGAGGCTCCAAGGGACTCGTGGAGTCACCTGCCCGCTGACAGGTGAACAGCAAGAATCCAGAACCAGCTCAGAGCCCCTTCCGCCCGAGCCTCAGAAGCAGCAGGACTAAGAACGCTTCCGGCAGGGCACGCGACCCCAAGGCATCTTTAAGACAGTCACCAAGTAGGGTAGAAAAGACATCCAGGTTCCACTCCTGCCGCGTGGGCAAGCACTGCTCCCCTTCACCAGAGCTACCACCATCACAGCCTCCAACCAGGCACGGAACCCCAGCCCAGGGAGATGTGACAAGAGCCAGGAGACAGAAGTACCACAGCAAGACCAGGGCACTCTCGGCCACACCTGCCCTGTAATTCAGGCTCAGCTGAGTGGTCTGCAGGAAAACCCAGCGTCTTGCCCGACCTCAGTTCCCCATCTCTAAACAGGCTATGTCAGAGCACTCAATGCAAACAGCACACACATGCTTCATGTGTAAAACACAACATTAAGAAACCTTGCTGTGGAAACGGAAAGAAATAACCACCAGTTTCACTTGCGAACTTCACAGTTCACATGTGTTAACCCAGAAGTCATTGGAGTAACTTTTTTGTTGTTTTTGCTTTTGTTTTTAAAGAAAGAAGAAACAACAACGTGGGGAGGTAAGCTACCCCTCTCCCTGGACTGCAAGGAACAGTAAATTAATGTCCTGAGACCAGAAACCTCAAGGTGCTGCACTCAAACCATGGAGGAGTTACTATTATCTCTTCCTCCAGAACAGTGAGAAAGCCTGCAAGGAGCTGGGAAAGCCAAGTTAACAAAAATAAGTGTGGTGCTAAAAACGGCTGTGCACAACTGCAATATGCAGTATGGGCACTCCTGAGCAACATCACCCTCCGGTGGGCTTGGGGCCCTCCTACCCAGGACACACGGTGGGGGACCCAGTTCTTCAGAGATACATCTGAGCAAGCGTGGAAGGGAGGGGAAAGGACTCCCACAGGGTTCACCTGGTGGCCTCCATCAGCAAGGCAGGGGAAGGGTTTCCACGACAGGCAGCGAAATTAATAGCAGATGGCCATCCAGTTTGGGACTGACACGAGGTCTGGGGCAAGAACCAGACATGATCTAAGTGGTCCACACGCCAGAGAGACGTCACCGAGTGAGGCTGGCTGTAGCCTTCCCTTCTCACCAATAGCCCACACCTTGGCCAGACAAGCACCCTCCTTCCTCACAAAGCCCAGGTACGCTCTCCCCAGAACCCAGACACAGGGCATCCAACAAGTCATGCCTGTAGCATGCAAGCAAAAAGACATCAAGAAGCACAGTTTTGGCTTTTTGCAGAAAGCACCCACTCACTCCTCCCCAACTCTAGTAACAACATTAGTACGAGCATTCATCATCTCTAACTGGCCACTGTCCTGTAACTCCCTCTGTACAGGCTCTTCAGTGAGCTTTAAAAAAAAAAGTGAATTTTATATTCAGGTAAATAAAACACTTGTGTATGCAGGATCATATTAACATCTTCCTTAAAGCCCTCCAATGGCTTCCCATCATATGGACAATAAAATCCAGCTTCGGGGCATGTCCGTAACGCACCACCTGATCTGACCCTGCCGTTCTCCCCTCCCACGTTCACTCCCACTTAAAATGCTCCATACCCCTTCCTCTGTGGTCCTGCATTCATTCCCACCTCAGGGCTTCTGCACGTGTTATGTTTTTCCTTGGGCGCATAAAGACCTCTCTCTCTCTCACACACACACACACACACACACACACACACACACATACTTTCTTTGGAGTCATAACATGGCTGGCTTTTCTTTCTCATTCTTACAGTTCAGATCAAATGTGAAATGTAACCCTCCCCTAACAGGCCTGACTGAACCACCAGGCACATACAGAGAGCTGGATCAGAAGTGGAGCAATTAGGACTTGAACCTGCACCCACATGGAAAACCAGTGTTATAGGCAGCAGCTTAATCCCTATCCGGCCACTTTTAACACACATCCTTAACTATGGAAACATCACCAAAACTTATAAAAATTGTACATATATTTATTTTCAGGAGAGGCCAAAAATACATGTGCCTCTGAGCAATCACCACTTCTTAGACACTGGCATCTAATTCAAATGGCAAAAATAAAACACAGCTGAATAAAGCACATCTGTAAAAGACCCCCAGAAAAGCCTTAGTCATCTCTCCCCACGCACCCTCCCCGACAGAGCTCTCTGAGCCACTCCAGCCCAGTGCTCGGCGCATCTCTGACTTCTGTGAGACCTTCCATATGGCCTTCACTCAGACCCTACATCGGGTAATGGTAAAAAAGTAATACTGACTATGCTGTTTGGCTCAACCTCTACTAGTTGCCAATAGCAACAGTGAATTCTAATTCTCAGTCCAACAACAAATCTGGAAGACATCATCCTCCCCCACCTATAAAATAAGAGAAAGAAAGAGAGACGGAAAAAGAGAGATAGAAAGAAAGAAAAAAGGAAGGAAGGAAGGAAGGAAGGAAGGAAGGAAGGAAGGAAGGAAGGAAGGAAAGAAAGGAAGGAAGGAAGGAAGGAAGGAAGGAAGGAAGGAAGGAAGGAAGGAAGGAAGAAAGAAAGAGGGCCCGGCACGGTGGCGCAAGTGGTTAAAGGTCCTCGCCTTGCACGCCCGGGATCCCATATGGGCGCTGGTTCTAATCCCGGCAGCCCTGCTTCCCTTCCAGCTCCCTGCTTGTGGCCTGGGAAAGCAGTTGAGGACGGCCCAAAGCTTTGGGACCCTGCACCCGCGTGGGAGACCCGGAAGAGGCTCCTGGCTTTGGATCGGCATAGTATCGGCCCGTTGCGCTCACTTGGGGAGTGAATCATCGGACGGAAGATCTTCCTCTCTGTCTCTCCTCTCTGTATATCCGCCTTCCCAATAAAAAAAAAAAAAAAAAAAAGAAAGAAAGAGAGAGAAGTCCAGAGAAGTAAACTAATGACTCCCAGGCACTGGAATGCAGATAGCACAGAGGACTACCTCCGTGGCAGCTGCCAAACAACCTCTTCGAACTCTGCATGGGATGGCATATGTAGCAGATGTCTCTGCAACATTCAAGCCTAACTCCCTTGTTTATCACCTGGGTACACGGTGGATTCAAACTCCTCATCTACAAATTGGGGATGCTAAGAATGGCCACCTTGGAGGCCTGAGCATACGCTAAGTGCTGACAAACCATACATATCATTGTACATTAGGAAACGGGGTAGACTCTGTGGGAAACAGAAAAAAGCATCCCCTCAGAGTAGGCAATCCGGCTAGCAAAATAAGATATTCTATGAGATACTGGCTCTAAAAACAGTCTTATAAAACCTGTTGTATGCACAATAACACATTTGCTGGAGCTTTCACAATACTCAGACCTGCTCAGACACCTGACCGGGGCCTCCACGGACAAGGCGGATTGAGGATCTAGAGTGACAGGGCAATCTCCAAAGAGGAGAGAGTGGGACAAGGCCCAGAAACAAGAGGCCAGAGGTCTGTGGAGAGGCAAGAGGACAATTACCCCGGTGACAGAGGGTACACGTTAAAGGAGGAGCATAGAGATTTTTGGAAAGACTTTGCGAAGACAACTGGTCAAAGGTCTCAAACATCACATGAAAAGGCTTGAACTTTACCCAAAAAGCTCTACAGAGATACCAGACGCTGAAGAGCGAGTAGTGACATAACCAGTGTTTTAAGAGTGGTAAACACAGCCACATGCAGACCAAACAGGGCAAGCACAGCTATGGCTGCCTGCCAAGACAAGTGTGGCCAAAGTCACGAGGGTCAGGGCTGACGGGACATCTTTCCGCTCTTGACCCTCAACTCCCAGAAGCCAGGAGCCAGACACAGTGCTTCAAACAAACCAGTTGGATCGCCTACTCTGAGAGCATGCTTTTTTATGTTTTCCACAGAGTCTACCAAATACTGACGTAACTACTTCCTGTCTTTCGTACTTTTTCTCCCCTGAAAAATCAAGTCAAAGTATGTGTGACAAACATGGTTATTCACAGCCCTTCCTTAAGGTAGGAGAGTCAATGGAAAGTTGCCGCCTAGCCAGAACTTCATTTCCCAGGGAGCCTTGCACCCAGGTACAGTCACAAGACTGGTTCACACCACTGGCATGTGGAATGGGAAGACACGTCTGAGATACAACTGTTCATTGTTTAAAAAAAAAAA